GTCCCCCGCCGTGATATTGCTGAAATATTGCTAAAAGCGGCATAAAACCTTACTCACTCACTCACTTTTGAGTGATACTGAAGTATTAACCTCAGTATGGCCTGACCCATTACATATTCCTTGGTCAAGTGGTAGAGCAGAAGGTCCGGGTTCAATCCACAGCTGCATATTGCCAAAAGACGTTAAAAGATGGTTACCCTGCCTGGTGCTGGTATTAAGGGGCTAAAACAAGGACTGGTCGGCTCGGGTTCAGTATACTGTTTTCTGAGAGAGGTATTCATGCTAAAGTGTGGCATGGTATCTCTGTGGACTAGCACTATAAAATCGGCTTTAGTCCAGATTTGTACCATCTTCCCGAGGCAAGTGAGTTAACTGACTTTATCTGGACTTTTACAGTCAGTTAACTCTCTTGCCTCGGGAAGATGGACTGGTACACGCAGTCACACGCACGCACACGTGCATGCACGTCGCTATATAAGTGCAACAATCTTGAAAGCCAGGTTTAAGCCCATTGCACCTTACCTCATAATCCTTAGTATAGTTGTATTCTCATATGCTGTGAAGCAAAGCCACAACCAACAACGACATCCAACAGGACTTGATACAGAAAATAGTTTGTTGTTTAATACCACACTCAGGAATATTCCATTTATGTGACGGCGGTATGTAAATAATCGAGTCTGGACCAGACAAACCAGTGGACAATATTGTTATCAACGACCCATGCTGTCGGTACGATGCCATTCAACCAAGACATCAAGCCCGACCACCTGATCCATTTAGTCGTCTCAAACGACCAGCTTAGGTTATTGGGGACCTATTCTAGCCCGGAATACCCATGGGGTGACGGCCCGTAAAGATCCGTGGTAGAATAGGTCTTCAGCAACCCATGCTTGCCGTAAAAGGCGACTATGCTTGTCGTAAGAGGCGACTGAGGGATCAGGTGGTCAGGCTCGCTGACTTGGTTGATGCATGTCATCGATCCCAATTGCGTGGATCGATGCGCTTGTTGTCAAACACTGGATTGTCTGTTCCAGACTCGATTACTTAAAGACCGCCGTCATACAGCTGGAATATTGCTGAGTGCGGCGTTAAACAACAAACCAAACCATGGGATGACAACTGAACAGTTCCATATAAGTTATCAGTCTTAATTCTATAATATACTCATCGCGTGCCTGGCAACAACAAAGTAAACTTTTCAGTTTGAATAATTCAAGATGGTTGCTGCTGGGAACGGCCCTTTCCAGTGGAGAATATAGACCTTTTCGGGACATATTCCTTTCTGTTTAGAGGGTAGACCTGCTTTATAATGACGTATCTGATACTTTTAAAAATGTTAAAAATGGCCGCCATTGATAGGGCGTGTGAAATCCGTTGAATATCTAATTTTGTCTTCCGGATGTTGATGGTGTGTGTCATACTTGGAACATAGATATATTCTATATAGATACATTTCTATATGGTGAGAAGATCTTTCTGGCGCATGGTTAGCTGATTGTGAATGTCAAGGCCACTACTTGTGAAATAAGTAAACATTTTGACACTTTATAATGAGACATTCAAATAACTGGGCATTTTCGTACCTGTGAGTGAGTGCGTTGGGTTTTAACGCCGCTTTTAACAGTATTCCAGTTATATCGCGGCGTGACAGCTTAATGTGGGAGAAAGCCCGAAGTGATGCAGCTCTCAGACGTCTTAGACCGCCTCGGTGAAACCCACGAGCACGGGTATGGTGCTGACAAACCTAGAAACATAATTGGGGCGAACCGGGACTCGAACCCACAATCATAAGTTATGGCGGGCCCAAGGGACGCAACTCTGCACAGCGAATCGCGGCGCCTTAGACAACTGGGCCACCCGTGCCCCCGATTTTCGTACGAATCTTCTTCGGCAAGGCCAACTGGCGTTCTACAATGATCCCGTAATATTCAGTTGGCATGAATTGTGAAAGGAATAATTTTCAAATGATTCAGAACGTAAATAAGAAATCTCTTTGTGTATTATTTAATTCATTGAAGTTGCCGTGTGTGGAAAAGAAATTTCATATATTTTCTTTATGAACGAACGATCCCTGTAATTAAGTTAGAAAGTATTTTTTCTAAAAATTCTGGAATCGGTTTGCTTTGAATTATTACATAATTTATCTGGTGCAATCGTTTAATTTTATGCTGTCATAGGGATCTTATTAAAATGCGTTTAGGAATCCACCGACACCCCCCCCCCCCCCCCCGAAAAAAAGAAAAAGAAGTATAACTTTAAAAAATGGAATGCAATGGGTTTTATTATTCAACGGTCAGAAAAAAAGACTTTAAGGTTTTATACTTCGGTTTTATGGAGCTGAGATACCATGTCGCAGTTTGACACTAAGACACAATATATTGTCTCCGAGCCGACGGCCGGTCCTTGTTTTATCCCCGATGCCGAACACCAGGCAGGGTAACATCAAGTCTGTTATACAGACCCTGATACATATATATCCAATACAGCCCATGCAAGTCTATAATGTTTGGCAAGTCTAGATTACTGCAGTATCTGAAAATGAAGAGCCTCTAGGCTCCTTTTTATTATATTTTTATTAAGATAATTTAACAACCGTTTTTTTTCTGTAGACTAGATGTTAGTTTAGGTAACATCTTTTAATATCTTTTCGAACCGCCGACATTCTGCACGCCGGGCCGACTCTCTAGCCACATATGCACACACACAAGGGACTGTTATCCGTATTAAACGTGGTTACCCGTGAATATCTGGGTTAGAATAAGTCTTCCTCAACCCATGCTTGCCGTAAAAGGCGACTTTGCTTGTCGTAAGAGGCGACTAACGGGATCGGGTTGTCAGGCTCGCTGACTTGGTTGATGCATGTCATCATATCCCAATAGCGTAGATCGATGCTCATGATGTCAATGCCTGGATTGTCTGGTCCAGTCTCAATTATTTACATGCTGGAACATTGCTGAGTGCGGCGTAGAACAACAAACAAACAATCAAAAATGAAACGTGGTTGCCTTTCCGTGACCACTCGGAACCACTAGCATATTTCCGTAACCGTGAATGTCCCGGTCGTCACGAATGGTGCCACTTTCGGCACAAGCTTCATTCGTGACCACGCGTGCCTTAGGTTACGGAAAGGTCCGAGTGGTGACGAACAGTGGTGGTCTCAGGTTGTCTTCAACCGTTGACAAATGGGGAGACAGTTTGTCAGACAAAAGGGCTAAAGCGGTGATCAGTGGATAACATATAAATTGACCCCACTGTGTAATAAAAGCAATTGTTGCAAATTATTTATTATTTTTTTCAAAATCAACTTCATCAATACAGTTTCAAATTAAGTTTGACCTGGAGTGAGTGCACAGGAACTCATTATTGGTCAGTAAATACAAACATATACTTAACGAGATGCGATATAGTGGCATAGTACAGTTTTTAATACAACAACACCAATAATAATAATAATAATAATGATAATGATAATGATGATGATGATGATGATGATGGTGATGATGATGTTGATGATATTATTATTATTATTAGTGATGTAAAAATATTTTTAGCATCGTTTGAGTCATTTCTGCAAACCACTGTTCTGTGTCAGGGTAGTGTTATTCCCGAGAATTGCCTGAAGGAAGTATACATGCATCAAGGCATCACGGAACACGCCCCGACGTGTGTGTCATGTTCACACACGGATACAAATGAAATTATACTTAGATAAAACCTACACTGAGGAGCAAACGACCCTACACCTCTCAATTGATTTTCTCATTTGACTTTCAATTGAAAATATCTTTAATTTGCGATAGTGTATCCAGCACTGTACTGACGCTTAGTCAGCAATCACAGAATACTTTTAAATGGGTTTATTTTGTAAAATATAATTTGAATCAGACCATTTGAAAATCAAACCTTCTTCTTTCATAATACACAAATGCTGATGGGAATCTTATCTTTGAAAATCAATACATTGTTTTTTTTCGGTACCAATTTACAACATTTCGTCACGGTAGGGGCTATGTGGTTCCAAATTCATGTTTTACGCCTGTCTCTTTGCAAAACATTACCCCGCCATGATAACATTTTACAAACTGGTGCAGGAATGGGGGATGGTGAAAGAGACATAATCAAATTTAACAAGTTTTTATTTCAATTGTCAATTACATAAAAACACAAACTCGTAATACTTTCTTTTCCCCCTCAGTTTATTAACAATATTTTAATATTTTGTATTTGATAGACCTTAGGGAAACGCTTTAAGCAGTCTGGCTTTCACGAATTTGTCCAGGTTTTGAACGACTGACATGATGTATTTTGAAACAATTACAACTCTCAAACAAATGGACCGCCTCCGTGACCTAGTGGTAGAGCGTCCCCCCGGAGAGCGGAAGGTCCGGGGTTCGATCCCCGCCCGCGTCATACCAAAAGACGTTAAAATGGTACTTGTTGTTACCCTGTCTGGCGCTCGGCATTAAGGGGCTAAAACACGAAATTGTCCAGGTTTTGAACGACTGACATGATGTATTTTGAAACAATTACAACTCTCAAACAAATGGACCGCCTCCGTGGTCTAGTGGTAGAGCGTCCCCCCGGAGAGCGGAGGGTCAGGGGTTCGATCCCCGCCCGCGTCATACCCAAAGACGTTAAAAATGGTACTTGTTGTTACCCTGTCTGGCGCTCGGCATTAAGGGGCTAAAACACGAAATTGTCTAGGTTTTGAACGACTGACATGATGTATTTTGAAACAATTACAACTCTCAAACAAATGGACCGCCTCCGCGGTCTAGTGGTAGAGCGTCCCCCCGGAGAGCGGAAGGTCCGGGGTTCGATCCCCGTCCGCGTCATACCAAAAGACGTTAAAAATGGTACTTGTTGTTACCCTGTCTGGCGCTCGGCATTAAGGGGCTAAAACAAGGACTGGTCGGCTCGGAGTCAGTATAGTACTATACTGTGTCTGAGTGGGGTATTCATGTTAAACTGCGGCATCTCAGTGGGCTATCACTATAAATCGGCATCAGTACGGACTAGTACAAGCAGCTACACATACATGTGCATGCACGTCGCTATATAAGTGCAATAATCTTGGATGCGACGTTAAACCCAATTTCACCTCACCTCACCTCACCTCAAACTAATGTGTTTCCATCAATGCAGTACAGTACAATGCACGTACATTAACGGATGTTTTAAATTAATCAGAACAGTTGCTTTGACGTTTCTCTATTCAATTTAATCAATCAATTCACTTGTGCGTTTCTTAAATGCAATTATGTTTGATTTATTCAACAGTTATTTAATAATTTTTTTTGATAGAAAACAGTTTTATTTAAATCAAGGTGGGGACAAGTGAAACTAGTACAAATATCTGCTTATATATTTTACAATAGTTACGAATTCACAATCGATTCGTCGTAGGTCATCATGCTAAATGTTTCTGAGTCTGTCTTTACCACTCTTCCTCTTTATCATATCCCTAACAGCACGGCGGAAGTTGACGCTGCAGAAGCTGTAGATGATGGGATTGGCGGCGCTGTTGATGAAGTAGGATCTTTGACAGATGTTGTAGGCGGCGACCTGGGCTCCTTGGAGATTGTCGTACAAATTCTTGTTGATGACGGTGGCCGCCATGATGCCGAGATGAGGCAGGAAGCTGATGATGAAAACGAGGCTGATCAGGAACAGCATTAATGTTGTCTTCCTGACTTGTGTTTCACGCTGTAACCTCAGCGTGTCCTTGACCTTGACTGTACAGCCTGGTTTGTCAGAGTGAGTCAACTGTGGTGCGTCTTCAAGGTTTGTTGGTCTTTGAAAAGTTGAAGCATTATCGTTCTCGGAAAAGGTCGAGTTTTGCGATTTGCTGATATTTGAGATACTTTTACCCTGTTCGCAGTCAATGGATGATGACATAAATAGATCTCCAGTTGACACTGACGTGACCTGGTCCTCGTTGCTACGGGCAACATGAACCGGGAAGGTTCCTCCAGTATTCGCGGATGTTGTCAACGTGCTTACGTATTTGTGCTGCCTTGATATCTGGCGCCATACCAATACATATAACACGATGATGGCCACTGTGGCTATGAGAAACTGCACAAACTGGACTCCGTTGTAAACGACAGGGAACACACTCCCTTTAAACGAATCCGAAATACTACATTCCGAACCGGTAACATTCTCCCCAAGCTCGACCGTCCTTGAACCAAACACAAACACACTAGGTAGCGTCATAACGGCGGACAATGAACAGCATAACATTATGGACAACTTTGCTGTCGTTTTCGTCACTTGTTTGCGGAAAGCATGGCACACCTTGCGGTACCTGTCCACGGCTACGGCTAGCAAAACATTTCCGGAGGCAAGAGATACGAAGGTCACGGTCACCGGCATGATCTTGCAGACGACCGATGCACCTAGGGTAAAGTTATGCCTGAGGTCGATTATTTCGAAGGGGATGCTTGTTATGCAGTTTATGAGGTCAAGCACCGCCATCGATACAACGAAATACGTTGTGGTTGTGATTCTTTGAAACTTGAAGAGATAAACATAGCAGACGACCGAGTTGCCGACAAAACCCAATAGCATCAATATGGCTAGGTATAAGATTGCGGGAATAGCTTGGATGGCGTAGTCGTTGTCATGACGACGTAGGAAATCCAAAGTGGCTTCTTCGGATAAGTTGAGGAACATTGTTCGAGTTGAACCTCACACAGTCTGGAACAAGAACCGGTGTTAAGTCATTGTTCCTCTGATACTAACATATTTTATTGACATACAATAGGATTGGCAAACTTCTCCAGGAGCTTACTCAAACATCGTACAAAAACATTAATTTATCAATAAATACGATCATAGACCTTACATACTGTGAATATGGTCTCTGATACAATCAACGATTTACAACAAACAGTTGTTCACAAAAGCATGAATTTTGGCCACTGAAGATTGATTTTTTTCTTTTTCTAGTTGTTTAACACCGCACCCAGCAATATACCAGCTATGTGAAGGCGGTCTGTAAATATTCGAGCCTGGACCAGACAATCCAGTGATTGACATCATGGACATCGATCTGCGCAATTTATATAGAATGGCATGTATCAACCCATTCGTCACCACTCGCCCCTTTCCGTAACCTATCAAAGGAATGTTATGTGCGAAAATACAACAAACCAATCAGAATGCGCGCATTTCAAGTTCTTCGTCAAAGAATCCCCCAGAAACAATTTTTGATTTAACATATGTCTTGCATCTAAAATGTGGTCAATCATACTGTATAATTCCGCATGTCCCGATGTGCTTTAAATTGCATCTGAAATATATATAATATATGGGGAAATATATGTGAACCATTACTCAACGAGTTGACAATTGTTTTAGGTATGCCCGTTTGCGCTAAGACGGAACCCGGTCGCAAAAATGGCCATGAGAGGGGCACGAGTCGCTCTTCGGCTTGTCCCGGAATAACACGAGTTGGTCACGAATGGTATCAACCAGGTAGACGTGACTTGTTTGCCACGTCACAATTAACGCAGTTCCTACGTCGAGATACCGTATTCTGTCTGAACACGATCGGCTATTTGCGGTTACGTGGGGACTTGACGAATTTTGATACCGAGTCGATGCTCGAGAAAAACATTCTTTTCGCAAACTTCTTTATTACGTTGTTAATGGGCAAGGAGGGCCTTGCGGTCTGAGGCGTATCAATCAGCTGTACACAGTAGCGTCCCTTAGCCACGCCAGTATTCGATGTCTTAGGAACAAGACCTAAATTCACACGATTAGGCGACACTTTTTTTATTTCTTGGTTTACGGATTTCAAACTCATTTCAAAAGTGAGGCAGGCCAATTAAAAAAAAAGAAGAAAAAAAAAGCCTCTCACATTTATTTTACCTGAATTTTGTCCTAAAAAGTTAGGTAGGTATGAAAAAAAATATACTGGCGTAATAAAAGTAAAATAACTCAATTTTTCAAGAACATTTTATTATATCCCTGGCACTCAGCTTGTGCAAGGATGGCAACATAACAATATTCATGTAATGGGTGGAAATGCATGAAAGACGCTGCTATTTTGGCAGCACGGGCAACGTTTAACTCTTTCAACACCAGCCAACCAGAAGATTACTGCTGTGAGACTGTTGTGTGATAGATGAAACCAACATCAAGGAATTATCTGCTGAAATTAACATCTTTGCTACTACATGTTTGGCCATACACTATTTGAAAGGTCTAATTAATCCTATTGTTTATAAATATGAAACTTATGTGTATTTCATTATTTAAATTATTCATGAACAACTAAATAAAGTTCGTTTTAAATAAATAATAATGTAAGCTAAAACATTCCTAACGTCCAAATTTAGCGCAAATCTAACGATTTTTTCGGCAAATATAAGAATTCATAAAATCCACTTACCTATTTCTTTTATAATTTTCATTTGTTTACGTTGTTGGAACATTATTTTAAAAAGAATTACAAATAATATCTGTCATCACCCTTTTCCCGATGATAGTGGCTGTCCGCTCACTAACATGAGGAAATACCTCGGTTTTCAAAGCTTCGTATGAATAACACATACGTCCTGCCATGTCAGTATACATTAAAAAAACTTATATTGTTTAACCGACAAAATCTGCTACAGGGTTCGTGATTGGTCCAATTTAAGCACGTGACCTAAGGCAGCTAATCAAATTACAGCAACGATAATTTTTAGACTTTGGCGAAAGGTTTAGGTTAAATCCTGTTATTCTGAACGTTTTAGCATGAAATCGCGATCTATATTAAAAATATGGAACTTTATGGATGCATAGAGCTAGGTTACGAGCTGTGACGAAGATTTCTTATGCATATATTTTGGCATTAAGACATCGTGTCCGAGCCGAGAAATCGAGGCGACGAAAGCCGAGATGTCATTTGACTTACGATATGCGATCGCACGAAAAGTTGGAAATAATAACTAAGATGTCAGTTTGGCAACTTTTATAGATATATTTTTGATGATTTTATTACTTTGTAAATAAAGACGTTTCAGCGCGTGAAACGTCTTTATTTTGTGCTATTTGACATGTTTGATGAGGACCCGTTGTCGAAGTGTGTCCGAGAATTTTATTTTCAATAACATTGCGGGAAATAGTGTCAAGTGAATATATTTTTAATCTATAGATAAAAAAATGATTAAATCAAATGGAATACGTATTTCAGACATTGTGAAATGTGATAGATTTAATAAATGAATGATATGACAAGTAGGTTAATATAATTATAAACTATTTAGACGTGGCTTGGACAGTCTACCGTGCGGTGTGACTTGTGGCTTGGAACGGCCAACAGTGTTGAAATAGTTAAACTGGTCACCACTGCGCTTTGCGTTGACAAGCTTTGATGGTATTAGAGAAGGATCCCAGCAAGAAATATCAGAGTGACTTCCCTTTGTTTTACGCTCGACGAGGAAAAGAAATCTTTTTTTGTTTGAACTTTTTGTCGAAAAGGTCGGCGGTAATAAAAAAAAGCGTAATTTTCATTTTTTAATTTTTTTTTAACATTTGGACTTTGAAAGAGCGGCGCATCCGTAAACCAAGAAATAAAAAAAAAATGTCGCCTTAAGTTCAATAGTTCGTCATCACCATACCCATGCTTATTGTTTCATCAAAGTAGGAAACAGCTGATGCCCGCAGCCCTTCGGGATTTCCTCCCACATTAAAAGGGAATTGACAATACCAGCAAGTTTAATTCAAATCCCTAAAACACTTAGCTAATTTTACGATGTTGTTTTGTTTGTTTGTTGTTTAACGCAGCACTCAGCAATATTCCAGCTATATGACGGTGGTCTGTCAATAATCGAGCCTGGACCAGACATGCCAGTGATTGACATCATGACCATCGATTTACGCAATTGGGATACGATGACATGCATCAACCAAGTCAGTGAGCCTGACCACCCGATCACCCGACAAGCATAGTCGCCTTTTACCGCAAGCATGGGTTGCTAAAGACCTATTCTACCCCGGATCTTCGCGGGAGAATTTTACGATGTACATAAATCTATCAGTAATGTGAGAGTAAGCAAACTGGGGCAATTCTTGCCAGGAATAAAAGAAAATGCGTTTTAGGCAAAGATGGGGATATTTCAGTACAGACAAGTACACGTGTTGGACTCACCTGTGACAGTCGCTGTCTCTCCACCGCGTGTGTGTGCCCTGTCCTCTGGATGGCTTTGGTTATGTCGCCCAGGATATGTAGTTTGAACATTAAACAAACGGTGATTTGTCAACTTGTATAAACCAATGAATGCAACAAGGACGGAACTGACTCCTCCCCAGTACAAAACTTTGTCAGTCAACGACAGTGTTGCGCTTCGATTCCGCGAAGTTGTGGTATTTTAGAGAAAGAGTCGAGGCAGAGTATTCATGTTTTAATAATAATATCTGAGTCGATGTTATAATATTCACTTCCCGCTTTGATCTCAGTGAGATAAATATTTCCCACGGTAATGGAGTGGCGTGGCGTGTTATGTTGTGTTGTGTGATGTGTGGTGGGGTGTGTCGTGTTGTGTGTCGTGGTGTGATGTGTTGCGTTGTATGTTGTGTTGTGCTGTATGTTGTGTTGTGTTTTGTGTTGAGGAGTGTGTTGTTGAGTGTTGTTTCGTGTGGAGCGTTGTGTGTTGTGGAGTGTTGTGTTGTGGAGTGTGGTGTTGTGGAGCGTGTTGTTGTTGTGGAGTGTTGTGTTGTGGAGTGTGGTGTTGTTGTTGAGTGTTGTGTTGTGGAGTGTGGTGTTGTTGAGTGTTGTGTCGTGTGTTGTGTTGTGTGTCGTATGTTGTGTTGCGTTGTGTCGTGTGTTGTGTTGTGTGTCGTATGTTGTGGAGTGTTGTGTTGTTGTTGAGTGTTGTGTTGTGGAGTGTGGTGTTGTTGTTGTGTGTTGTGTTGTGGAGTGTGGTGTTGTTGTTGAGTGTTGTGTTGCGTTGTGTCGTGTGTTGTGTTGTGTGGCGTATGTTGTGGAGTGTTGAGTTGTTGTTGAGTGTTGTGTTGCGTTGTGTTGTGTCGTGTGTTGTGTTGTGTGTCGTATGTTGTGTTGCGTTGTGTCGTGTGTCGTATGTTGTGGAGTGTGGTGTTGTTGTTGTTGAGTGTTGTGTTGCGTTGTGTCGTGTGTTGTGTTGTGTGGCGTATGTTGTGGAGTGTGGTGTTGTTGTTGAGTGTTGTGTTGTGGAGTGTGGTGTTGTTGTTGTGTGTTGTGTTGTGGAGTGTGGTGTTGTTGTTGTGTGTTGTGTGTTGTGTTGCGTTGTGTCGTGTGTTGTGTTGTGTGGCGTATGTTGTGGAGTGTGGTTTTGTTGTTTAGTGTTGTGGAGTGTGTTGTGTTGTGTTGTGTGGCGTATGTTGTGGAGTGTGGTGTTGTTGTTGTGGAGTGTTGTGTTGTTGTTGAGTGTTGTGTCGTGTGTTGTGGAGCGTATTGTTGTGTGTTGTGGAGTGTTGTGTTGTGGTGATCAGCTAAATATGATCCGGTCCAAACAACAATCCCACCGCTTCAACCCGAACCCGCACCTTCCTCCAACCCCATCCCACCCCTGTATAATGCATGACAAATCCCTAACAATGTAAACATCTTCGTATGTATATTAAACACTTGTTAACCTTGAGACCCCATTATGTGAAGTAAATAAATACAAAAGTAATTGTTTAAAATTTTAGCCATATTTTTTCTCAGGAAATATTAAACTCCACAGGAATGTCTTTTTCGGGGAAACGTGGTTGTGTAGAAGCTGGTATGTTGCAGCATGGAGGACCTAGAAACAAGTGTTCCCAGAAAATATGAGTGAAACTTGATTATATTGTTTTTCTGTTTGAAAGGATATAAGTTTTTCACATATATTGTTGCATTTGAAAGATTGTTTATTCACACATAGTAAAAGGTTTTAATTTACATTTAAAGGGGAACTCAGCTCGGGTCAATTTGTAGTCCACTAACCACCACATTGATTGTCAACTCGCTCCACTTAGTGGTGTGTATCAATTTAGCAGTTGGGCTTAACATTGTAGTGCTTGGTCCACTGATCCGCCGACCTTACAATCGAAACTTCAGAAAACTAATAATCAGAAATATACTGAGTGAGTGAGTTGTTTTTGAATTTGAAATATAACTTCAGCGGTTGTTTCGAAAAACACGTTATTGTTATAAACCTGAAAGACATCTGAAGGTTGTAGCTCGTTTTGCAACATGAGTGAGTGAGTTGGGTTTAGCGCCGACATTAACACTATTCCAGTTATATCACAGCGTGTCAGGTTAATGTGAGAGGAAAGCCCGAAGTGGTGTAGGTCTCAGACGTTTAAAAGTTCGGTGAATCCCACAAGCACAGGTATGGTGCTGGCAAACCTAGAAACATAATCGGGGCGAACCGGGATTCGAACCCGCAATCATAGGTTTCTGGCTTGCCCACAGGATGCAACTCTGCAGAGCGAATCGCGGCGCCCTAGACGACTGCTTTATCAAGGTTGAGATAGATGTCCAGTCGCATGGTCTCTCCTTTGGTTCATCAGAAACGACAGGAATGACCCAAATTTCTTCGAATTCATCGTTTAAGCTCACTTAAATACCCTTAAGGTGTAAATACGTCAGGTCCTCTATAGGACGTCAACAGTTACGTTCTGTCCGTGCACTTCTGTAGCTCAGTTTGTGTAAAGAAATAACCACTGCCGGTTTCGGACGATAGATGTATAGTTAATTTGAATCATATATCATATATTCCCATAGTTTTAACTCAGTTTCTTAGAAAATGACTAGTGCTCCCTCTTTTTGAATTATAACATTAGCGGTTGTTTCGATGAACACGTTATTGTTCCAACCTGAAAGACATTTGAAAACTGTAGCTCGTTTTTACAACAAGGCTATTAATGTGTGAATTGTCTAACTTGCAATGGGGGGCACGGGTAGCCCAGCCGTCTAAGGTGCCGCGATTCGCTGTGCAGTGTTGCGTCCCTTGGACACACCAGAAACTATGATTGTGGGTTCGAATTTCGGTTCGCCCCGATTGTGTTTCTAGGTTTTTCGGCACCATACCTGTGCTCGTGGGTTTCACCAAAGTGGTAAACGTCTGAGACCTGCATCACTTCGGGCTTTCCTCCCATATTAAGCTGACACGCCGCGATATAACTGGAATACTGTTAAAAGCGGCGTTTAACCTAACTCACTCACTCACTCACTCTAACTTGCGGTTTCTTACCGCATTCCGCACTCAATGGCCCCGAGCGCTCTGATTGGTAAATTTCCCGATGTGCGTTTGTTATGGTTGGAGCGCGGACCAATCACAGCACTCGACGCCATTGTGCGCGGAGATTTGTTGTTTACTTCAAACGTGACCCATAACCGCGACTGGGCCCATATTTCGATAATATCACCGGATATAGGTAATAAATTGCCAAAAATGAAGGTTTGTGGCATGCAGGTCGTATGTGGAGGGAGGTGGGGAGGTACTGTGAACATAACATGCATACATTTCCATATTATTTAAACGATACAGCCGATTACAACTTCGGCCAAGATGGCGAGTGACGTACCTTGTCTATTTATATATATGGCATTATGGGTCCAGTGTTTCAGTAATATCACTATCCTGCTTCAGGGGCCTGTGTGGCAAACGGTCTATTGAAGATGCGTATACAACTGACGTGGTCAATTTGAGACAAAGACATTTTGAGAAGTTTCTGTCACCTCTCGGCGAG